GGAGGCAGGAGACTCGCTTGAGCCCAGGAGTTGGAGGTTGCTGTGAGCTGTAATGCCACGGCACGCTACCCAGGGGGAGAGCTTGAGGCTCTGTCTCAAAAAAAAAAAAAAAAAAAGAAATCTTACATCTTGGCTTAGTGCCCATAGCACGTGGTTACAGCACCAGCCACCAACAATGACAACTGCAACAAAAAAATAGCTGAGTGTTCTGGCAGGTGCCTGTAGTCCCAGTACTTGGGAGGCTGAGGCAAGAGAATCGCTTAAGCTCAAGAGTTTGAGGTTGCTGTGAGCTGTGATGCCATTGCACTCTACAGAGGGTGACATAATGAGTCTGTCTCAAAAAAAAAAAGAAATCTTACATCTTGTTTGTAGCCTCTGTGTTTGCTGATAGTATTTTACTTAGTCTTTATTTAATATAAATTCTGGACAGTGGTCATTAATGTGACAGTGCATTCTACAACCTCCACATCTCCTGTCGTTTCTCTTCTGGGCATCCTGAAGGTGTTTAGAACCTTTGCCACAAGAGCAGGGAAATATGGAATACACCAAACAACTAATTCTTGGTTGTCTGCTCAGCATCTGCCAAAAACTCTCTCCAGATGGTGGCAGAATACCCAAAGGTATGTACTCGTTGGCAAGAAAGAGGAAGTATCTAAATTTGAGTGCGAGTGTACCTGCCACTTAGCTTTGTTTCTTCTTATTCCTGTAGATGTTGTGGATGAGGAGAAGTTCAATGTGGAACTGATAGTTCAGTGCATCCGCCTTTCAGAGATGCCTCAGACCCATCACCACGCCCTCTTACTTTTGGGTACTGTTGCTGGGATATTTCCGGTAAGTGTTAATGATTTAAGGTTTTTAGCAGGTATTTCAGATATATTTCTTTCATGAAAATGCATGATGATACCTACTGGTTTAAATTCATTAGGCTTTGGGATCTTTAGTACAGGTAAGCCCTCCTCTTCTGGAGTTTTTTGGGGTTTTTTGGCCCTGCCTCTTAATTCCTAGGACATTGGGGTCTGGTTGGTCTTACTTGCTAAGCTTCGCTTTTCCTTTGTATAAGGTGGGAATGAATAATAGTAGCTTTCTTCATAGGATTTTTGTGAGAATTCAACTGGATAATTCATGGTTAGCACTTAGGACAGTACCTAGCACACTGCTACTCTGTAGTAAAACAGCGACTATCTTAGTGTTACTTAGAAAAAATAATATCCTATTAATCCTTAAATGATCCTATCAACAGCTTTCAACCAGTGACTTCATAAAACTATTTGAGGCTCAGTGCCCATAGCTCAGTCAGTAGGGCGCTGGCCACATACACTGAGGCTGGTGGGTTTGAGCCCAACCCAGGTCTGCTAAAAAACAATGACAACTGCAACCAAAAAATAGCTGGGCATTGTGGTGGGTGCCTGTAGTCCCAGCTACTCGGGAGGCTGAGGCAAGAGAATCTCTCTTTTTTTTGAGACAAAAGTCTCAAGCTGTCACTCTGGGCAGAGTGCTGTGGCATCACAGCTCACAGCAACCTCAAACTCTTGGGTTTAAGCAGTTCTCTTGCCTCAGCCTCCCAAGTAGCTGGGACTACAGGCACCCACCATAATGCCCAGCAAGTTTTTAGTTGTAGTTCTCATTGTTGTTTGCAGGCCTGGGCTAGATTCGAGCCTGCCAGCTCCAGTGTATGTGGCTGGCGCCCTAGCCACTGAGCCACAGGTGCCGAGCCAAGCAAGAGAATCTCTTAAGCCCAAGAGTTTGAGGTTGCTGTGAGCTGTGACGTCACAGTACTCTACTGAGGGCAACATAATGAGATTCTGTCTCAAAAAAAAAAAAGGAAACTATTTGATTATAAACTCCCTCATTTAAAGAAATCATGTGTCATATAAAAATCTATTATTTAAAATTTTTAATAATTATAACCAATTTCATACTGGGGATTTAGGTGGGAGGTTCTTTTTTTTTTTTTTAAGAAAGAGCCTTAAGCTATCCCCCTGGGTAGAGTGCCTTGGCATCGCAGCTCACAGCAACCTCCAACTCCTGGGCTCAAGCGAGTCTCCTGCCTCAGCCTCCCAAGTAGCTGGGACCACAGGCGCCCACCACAATGCCCGGCTATTTTTTTTGGTTGCAGCCATAATTGTTGTTTGACGGGCCTAGGCTGGATTCGAACCCGCCACCTTAGGTGTATGTGACTGGCACCCTGGCCACTTGAGCCACAGGCATTGAACCTAGGTGGGAGGTTCTTAACCTGGGGGTCTCTATGAGCTTTAGGGGGCTTTTTTTTTTTAATTTTTTAATTTTTTTTTTTTTTTTTTGTAGAGACAGAGTCTCATTCTATCGCCCTTGGTAGAGTGCCGTGGCATCACACAGTTCACAGCAACCTCCAACTCCTGGGCTTAGACAATTCTCTTGCCTCAGCCTACCCCCCCACCCCCCTTAGCTGGGACTACAGGCACCTGCCACAACACCCAGCTATTTTTTTGTTGCAGATTGGCTGGGGTTGGGTTTGGACCCTCTACCCTCGGTATATGGGGTCGACGCCCTCCTCACTGGGCCATAGGCACTGCCCAGCTTTAGGGGGCTTTTAATCTACAGAAATCATGTGCAGTGTTTTACATGTGTGGGATTTTTTTTTTCTTAAACGAGAGTCTATAGCTCTCAAAGGAATTGATAATCCAGAAAGAAGAATCAATGATGTGCTTGTTTTGTTTTTATTGAAATAATTGTTTATGTGCCATAAAATTTACCCATTTAAATGTACAATTAAGTGGTTTTAATGTATTCTCAAAGTTGTACACTCATTCCCATAATCTACTTTCAGAACACGTCTGTCATCTCAGAAAGAAACCTATACCCATTTGCACTCACTCTTTGTCCCCCACTCCCCAAAACCTCCCACTGCCTGACCATCACCTCCTAGCCCCTGGCTATCAGTGATCTACTCTCTGTCTATGGATTTGCCTATTCTGGACGTTTTATGTAAATACAACGTGGGGCCTTCTGTGTCTAGCCCCTTTCACTGAGCGTAATGTTTTGAGGTTCATCCATGTTGAAGCTTGAATCAATATTCCTTTTTATGGCTGAAACAACATTCTATTATATGTATATACCACATTTGGTTTTGTATATCTGGGTTTTTTTGTTTGTTTTTGAGACAGAGTCTCACTATGTCACCCTCAGCAGAGTGCTGTGGCATCACAGCTCACAGCAGCCTCCAACTCTTGGGCTTAAGTGATTCTCTTGCCTCAGCCTCCCAAGTAGCTGG